TTCACCTTGATTAGCTGAAATCCGTTAGAGAACCATTGTAAACTAGTAAGGAGTAATGGACACCTGTTTCGTCACCCGTAGTTTGGGAGTCTTCCACAGAGGGGGGGGGCGGAACGACAGATCAGGTGTGAGGATAAATATTCGCTCCTAATGATATTGGCTAGTTCAAGTTACTCTTTGTCATAAATTATTGGTGGAAGTTAGAATTCATGGAATGACCATTCAATCGGGACGGTTCTCAGTCAAGTGGCTGATGAATGATCTACGAGCTAGCTGGCCTTGAAACAGGAAGCTCCTGGGTTCGAACCGCCTATGGTGGGTGCATAGTGATGAACAAGAGTCGCAAACTAGGCTGATGAAACGGGTGGATGTTCAACACTCCCTGTAGGTTGTTCAATACTTCTCTGACTGATGTCAGATCATCATGATGAAATCCTGTAACCAGTTAAATCAAATTCCTGCAAACCAATAGCTGAATATAATATCCACTGGTTGAATTTTAAGTACATTTTATTCTGAAATAAATTGATTGCATCAGATCTTAGCAAAGTCGATGAATAGCGGGATTAATTTAAACGCATTTTTTGCATGTAAGCATAAAATTTGATAATTTGATAGAATATTTCCTATCATAATAGCTTAAAGCATATTATCATCATCATTCTTCTTTCTAAAGCTTCATAATATTCAAAATTGTCTTTAAATTATGATCATGAGTAGTTCTGACTATATGGAATAATAAAAAGACAGTTGCAGCGAAGAAAATCTCTTCGACCAAGTCATCAACTAGATAGCTGTACATTCGTATATTTGTCATAAATAGGTGGGAAAGCTCCAGAGTAATTTCCGGTCAAGGATGAAATTGTATAGTGGTGAGCATCTCTGCCTGTCGTATGGAAGGCCCGGGTTCGATTCCCGGTCAAGGAGTCAGTGCGTCTGTGGCACAGCAGTTAGGACGCTCGCCGACCATGCACATGGTCCGGGGTCTGATCCCCGGCGGACGCACTCCTTTACCTCGCTTAGCCAGAAATAATGCTGGTAATGAGGCAAGGTTGGGCATGAGGCTAGCAACCCCATCCTGTAAAATAAACACTGCTACAGAAACTTCAAGCCACTAGCTTGAGACCCTATGTTCCACTGGGAACGTGAAGGAAAAATTATTATTTTATTCAAGGGTGAAATTTATACAATTACAATTAGGAATTGAAATGCCATTATAAACATGGTGGGTGAGGATGGATAAAACTCAAACAAAGTGGCATCATTATTACTGAGAAGATTGACATGTTGTGTAATGAGGTGTTGGAAACGTAGAAATAACAAAAATAGACAGGATGTTTGAATGAAAAATCTAGTGGGATCATAACTAATGTGACAAATAATTGTTTATGCAATCAGGGACTGCATATGTAGAAATAGTAAAATGACAAAACAGACAGGAAGTTCGGGTGGTGTAAATAGGGACTAAGAAAAACTTAAAAATAACATGAATAAACAGGAAGTTTGGATAAGACAGGCAACGGGATAGTCAATATTAAAAGAATTACTTGTTTATGATAGCCATGACAGGGACAATGGAAACATAGCGTGGGCTTGGGTTTTTGGATGGCTAGTGCCCTTCCTATGCCTAGATGTCTTAATTCTACTCCCTTTGATATGTTTGATAGAATCTTGTGTACTATTTTGAAGGATTTTTCGAATGGCGCTGAATTTCCTGAATTGGCCAGGTGTTCTGTTACTGAACTATACACACGTTTTCGTTCTCCATTTACTAGCCAGGTTGTTTTGTCAACTTATTATTTCTACACATGCAGTCCCTGATTGCATAAACAATTATTTGTCACATTAGTTATGATCCCACTAGATTTTTCATTCAAACATCCTGTCTATTTTTGTTATTTCTACGTTTCCAACACCTCATTACACAATGTGTCAATCTTCTCAGTAATAATGATGCCACTTTGTTTGAGTTTTATCCATCCTCACCCACCATGTTTATAATGGCATTTCAATTCCTAATTGTAATTGTATAAATTCCACCCTTGACCGGAAATTATTCTAGAGCTTTCCCACCTATTTATGACAAATACACGAATATACAGCTATCTAGTTGATGACTTGGTCGAAGAGAAGATTTTCTTCGCTGTAACTATCTTTTTATAAGTTCTGATTGCTTAAATTCTCTCAGAGAAATAATTTATTTACTTTAGCCTCACTCTATTAGTTCATAAAACTTCTACGTTTTCAAGTCTACCATAAACTAAAGTAACATGACACAATACCACACTCAAATATTTCTTAATACTGACGTATTCTGAAGCATTTCTAAGCATCACCTTCTTCGTTAACAGTCGAGTTACTTCATAAAAGTATATCCATACCTTTCTGTCAATAAAAATCTGCAACTGATAACGGGAAAATAATATGAAGAGGTATGATTTTTGATATGTCTTTCTACATTGGATCATAATTCTAATCTACTTTCAAGGGAATAGTTTCTAGGATAACTGAAATCATTCATATTCAGCAATAATAGAAAGTTAACCAATTAATTCAAGTTATATATTATGAGCAGTTGACCAGTTTTGTGAAGTTGTGAAACCATTTCCATGTTATAACAAAGAATTTGACTACAGGAACTGCAACAATTCTGTGGAACTAGCCAGCTAGTCATTATTTAATCACCTAAATTTGCTACAGTAAAAGCGCAATCAGCCCACCAATGTGTGTTTTTAGCATTTTTCAATGATTGGCTTTAAACAATTCAAGTGATTTAGTCACTTCCACTGATATTACTTATACTGGGTTTTTTACTGGTAAATCTAAATATTTATTATCTGTAGTTCTTTCTTAATAACCAGTCTTCCTTAGTATCCATTTACATTAAGTCAAAATGATAACCTAAATATTTGTAAATTGGAGGAAGCAATGGAAATAACGCTGGTGACAAATTGGTAACTGAAATGATAAAGCATACCCAACGAAAAACCCTACTATGCAATAAAATGCCTTCATAAACCCAAAGCAAACAATTACGTAATATTTTGGCTCTTAAGTCTGTATGTTCCGTTGTAAATCCACTATAATTAAACTTTGTTTAGTAACAAAATAAATTATTATTATTAAAATAAGGAAAATCCTTGTTAAGATTCTGAAAATTTAAAACTGTGAAGTTTTACTTCTTATGTTCAAAATACACATCTGATTTACTCCAGAAAACTCATCATGTTCTTCAATTATAACCACAATTTTGATCAGTCCCTACAAATTATATACTGTAGCAAGGTTGACAAAGTGATAATAAACCCTACTGACTGTGTAGATAAGTGTTTTTGACAAGTAGTTGAGTCTATTCTGCAATCTTTGATCACACTCTCTGAATGGGTATTTCAATCCCTATTTAGGGATCTTACCATTTTCCTTCAGAGTACCACTCACATTTTGAAGTCCAGCTTCACGCATATTATACGAAGATTCAAGTTCAAGCTGTCATCGTTTCTACGCAAATAAGTGGGGCCTAATAAGTTAAAACATACTACAGAATAAACTTTCTCTAATTTAACTGCAGCCTGATGGATAATTCATCACTTCATTTTTCGAAGTCAATCAGTGCACATCAAAAATAACCAGAATGAGTATTTCTTGCATGCACCCACACGACTATACACACATAAATAAATAATTAAGAACATTAGTTTTGAAAATTTTTTTAACTTTATACTATTCTGTTTTCTTCATTATTATTCTACGCATAATAAAGCAGTAAAATGAACTGCGTTTCAGGTATCAAAGAGAGTACTCAGTTACGTATTTACTTCCAATGTGCATGTCGTTTGCTTAGATTTGATTTATATTAAAATCTGTTGCTGTACAAGAGCTTACTGTTTACATATATAGAAGTAATACTTTCTACAATGGAAAATTTGAGTAAATATCGGCTAAAGACAAGCGTCTTAGCAAATTATTGTTCTACGAGGGCTTTAACTATGAAGTCGGCTAAAAGTAATATCCGTGGGAATCAGCAAGTTTGTGAGTAACCACAACAATCAAATGAAAACATGCGATGTAAACACTTCAGTATAAAATCGATGTATTCTAAAGAACATATCACTATCAACAAAAGCCATACCCTTTATTTGAATGAAAAGACTGGTGAAGAGGCCAGTTAAGTAACGAAAATGCAGAATCATAACTGTGATACCAGTTAATTTTGGTTACCAATAACTGAGCTACAGCAAAACATTCAGCACTTTATATAAAGAAATAGACCATGAGCTTTACACTTGAAAACTGTTACATCCGAACTTTACTTATGCGTCACTGTTTCCCTCAAACTCTGGGAAGTTTTCACTCGATTCCTTTTAGTTGTGTATCTTTATATCGCCACATCTTATGCAATTTCATAGTCTAAACTATAAGTGTTTGTTTCCTCGCATGGTATTACATAAACAGCTTCCTTCCCTAGTTCCTTATCCCCTTTAGTCGCTTTAAAAAGTGATAAATGGCGGTGCTGCAAAATGTCTCTGCTTTAGTTTAAGGTTAAGCGATGAGTTCGACGAAAATCATCATGACTGTTAAAATTCCGGTGAGAAGTAAGAATTTTAAACAGCTTTCAAAATACCAGCAGAAGCGATTGTCTGATTGTCCGCTTATAATTAACTTGTAAACTAATAAACAATTGGGGCTAATCAAAATAAGGACCGTAGGGATAATAAAATTTTCGGGATAACTGTGAAACAATCAAAACCTCTACGAAAAATCCAAGTGATATGCTCTTTAAATTTTTCCAGTCAAAATACTGTGGATTTAAAATACTTTCAGCGATCCAAGTATAGAGGCACAGCAAACAAAGATGAGTTATGTGTTCCTGAATGCAAAAGAATTCATTTAGCATACATTTCGTATATATATATACGTGATATATATGTGATATATATATCACAATAAATGCTTTTTAATAAAACAGTCTTAGGGAAACAAATTAACGTAATGAGACTTACAAAATATAGGAAGATTTGGGGGCGCTTGGAAGTTCAGTCCCATCGAAAGTGCTTCCTGTACTGCAACCTGACATCTCTCTTTTGTCAGATTAGTGGTGTGTGTTGTCAAACACAATTGCATCACAGTAATAATTATGCACAGACTGAATGCTTCTGTAGCCATTGTTTGTGTGTTCTTCATTTTTTAGATTGGATTTATTTAAATACCTCGAATAATCATTAATGATTAGCACGTTTTCCAATATTTGTGTTGAATGTGTGACATTTTAAGTCACACCCGAAGGTCATGTCTACAAAGCATATAAACAAGGGAGCGAATTCAGATTCAGGATAGTTGAAAAGTAACGAGTGTCATAATTCTTTTGCTTTTGATACAAAGAGTCTATATTAATGACTGTTTCATGTCAGTGTAACTTATCGTTATGTAAACTATGCTGAATTATTTATTATAATGTCATAAATGCTCTGTCATTTATATCCACATGTTAAGCGTTTACAACATTCACTCTTTGCTTCCTTATGTCCGAGAAACTTTTGTTTGTTCGATGTGGTTTGCTGTTTTCTTTTGGCATCGCGTTGTTTGGATATCATCACATAGTGAAATTACGACAATTCACTTGTCAGTTGGTCAAATTTATATTCCCATTATACTAATTTCCCTTAAGATTGTTTCCCGTCCCTCCTCTTGGCTCCATCTCAATTCACAGAAAAAGGACTATAAACGTAGGAATACTAAGGACACTATATCCGGTTAAGCAGCACTTCTACGCTCTATTCACAAACCATAAAGACATATATATGATCTTTAAGAAATTTGTATGCCCTTATGCAGACGGAAAACAGACTTGTTGAAAATAGTCTGTTCGTTAGATACTGCTCTTGCCGTCAGGTCAGGCGGGCCAGACTGAAGAGTCAGTAGGCAGGGCAACTATATTATCATGGTTGAGCTCAGGTCTTCCAGTACTGATAGCCACATAGCAATCATGAATGTTGTTTCTGGTTGAAGCCAACAGGATTCAATCTTGAACTCGTTCAAGCAGTTTAACTTACTGGTTTCCATGAATGGTGCCCGCAATGATAAAAAACATTTCGGTTGTTTAAAAGTGAGATGCACAGAAGTTCGTTTTCTTGGTAAACATGTGATTACAAACACACCTAAATAAGACAGAATTTATACAAGAGCAACATGGTTGCCCGCCAAGTGATTGTGGCCAAATTTCTCCCGGATTCATTTTATTTTTACGATTTCCTATGGGAAATATCCCCATTTTAATTCTTAGATGTGGCAAAGTTTCCTCTACGCATGCGCACATACATAAAGTGCAAGTTATTCTGAGAAAATTACAGCAGAAAAAAATTACAACAGAAAAAACATGTACAAAATGGTTTGTTTCCCACTATGGGATTGCCGATGATCAGATATTCACTAGGAACGATTTGAGGATCCATCACTATGTTTCACCATACAATGAATGTACTTCTTTATGCATGAGAAATGAAGCGAGATTAATGATTATCTAATGATTTTAGTTTACATTTTCTGGGATTGAGTAAAAAAACAGAATTTTGGTTACCTGTTAAGCAGTATAGTCGAATGCCTTCAGGGTAGCAGTATCATCCATAAAGTAATGAGATAACATTCCTATGTTTTGATTGATACAAATATGTATAAGCATATATGGGAGCTAGTGACTTTGCGGCTTTCGTGGTGGAGCCACATGGAATTTTTCACCTATTAATGAAGCTCAGAGTCCAAAAATCTTAGTGCTGGCCTTACCGTGAAAATGGTCAAAAACTTCCCAAATACCGAAAGACATTCACCTAACAACTATATTAAAAAAGAAGCGAGAGGATAAGAGAACGTTTCAATGCATGTGTAACCTTAGCATCAGGAAAACGGGCCAGTACATAAATGTTTATTACATTCTGTCATAGTACCAGCAGACCACCACCACAAGGACTATTGCACTGAATGCTTGGAAAAGAAACTAACATTCTTTTGCCGAGAAGTGATTCGACTAATATTTCCACCTTTAAACACTGAAGTTGTACTCTAAATACCACGTTGCGTTCAGCGGTAAATACACCCTTTGTGCCTCGCTGGACTCTTTTATATTCTTTGTCTGAAATGACATCATCTTGACTGTGAACTAATTTTGGTTTCAACTACTGTAATTCTTGACTTTTAGCGCCAAATAAACTCCATTAAGGGTGCAATTTATTTTCGTAAACTTACACAGTTTTATACAGTAATACATAGACGAACACAGGTTTTAGTAATGGGATGGATCACCAATATCCCCATTCATAGCAGATATCTTTCTGGATATCTAGGAAAATATTAGCTCTTAACGCACTGAATCCAACCATAAAAGTATAGTGGAGATATGTAGATGACAATTTCTTTACGCGTATAAACTCACTAGTGAGGAAACAAAATTCACATCTGAATCAGAAAATTGACACTGAGAATTGGCCATGATGTTAGATTGTAAAATAAAACAAACCGAAGAAGCAAAACCCAACACCAGCGTTTAAAAAAGGTCACAGCATTCTGTCAATAGATATTTAGACTTCCGTTATCTGTAAAGACAGGCTTAGTTAAGTGTTTAACAAACCGAGCAATAACAACACTAAGTAGGACAACAAAAAGCCGAAATGACGAAATGAAAAAGATGGAAGCATAGCTGGTTGCTGTTAAATAACTAACTATCCTATGAAATTCATTAGAAAGATCAGAAAAGGTCAAAAGCAAAGTAAAAATAATGGTGAAACGAACAATGATAACATAAAAGAGAAAGAATTTCTTGTAAACACCCGTTTATATGAAAAATAAATTATTATTAGCAGTAGTAGAGGCCGACAGATTTACTTCTTTGTGGACGACCTATGGGGCCTTGGCTAAAACCCCCAGTGAAATGCCTGCCATTTTAAACATATCTCTTTTGATGTAAGAACCAGAAACGAACATTCAAAGAACCAGCCTTTGCACAGATGCGGACTCACATATCCTGTAGAACGTTTTTAGAGCATGAGGGTGCCAGCGTTCAAAGACTGTATGGCATAAACTAATGCTAGATCTAACACCCACAGCTTCTATAGTATTCGTTCTGCACAGACCAAGGACAAAGGAAAACAAACTGATCGCCCCGAATGTGGAATATATTAGCCGATTCTGATTCAGATTAGAAGGACAGAAGGCTCCTGTTTCCTATGTTAATCCTTATGATATTTATCTCCGCAGAGATTTAGTCTGTCTTTGAAAGCGCTCACCCATAGTGCTGTTATTAGTGAATCAGGAAAGGAGTCCCAGTCGTTGACCGCTGTGTAAGAGAATCCGGATTCCATATCACTTCATTCAAACTTGGTTTGAGCGCTTTCTTATGCTGACCTTGCGAATGTATTCTAGAGGGAAAGGAAAGATTTGAAAGGTCAATTTCTTTAACATACCTATGACAAAATTAAGTCTCCTCTCGTCCTTTGGTATAATAATGGGAAGAAACTTAAATGCTCCATCCTCTTACCATAAGGAAGATGTGGGATACCCCTAACTAATTTACTTCTCACCCTTTGTACTCTTGCTACGATATGTCCTTCCTTCTTGAAACATGGAATAGCCACCTGTACGCAGTATTCTAGATGAGGCCTGACAAATGTTGGGTAGAGTACTTCGAATATACCCTCGCCTAATTGTTCGAAACCCATTCGAAGTGCTCATAGCATTCAAAAAGCCTTGTGTCAATGGAGTTGAAGATTGAACGATCAATTCTTGGTTGTTTGCTCAAAATCAACTTCCCCAATTTTCGCGGAGGCATCAATACGACAGTCATCGTCTCATCGGTCGCTGTTCAGAAAGAAGTCAGGAGACAACCATCAGAAGTAATCTTGTGATTTATTATTGTAATATTTGTTCACAGACCTTAATAGAACTATTTTTTATATGTTGGTGTTACAATAAAGAATTCCCAAGCGGCCAATCGGTGTTTTGGTTTTCCGTCCGTTATTACTAAGCGTTTCTGAAAAACTGCAAGGAACAGCGTGGGCCCGAGCGTAGCAAGAGCTGGGCATTAACGGTTTATGAGACGTGACTGACAGTTTCTGATGGTAGAAACAGACTTTGGCGGATTCAGACAGTTGGTGAAAGTTTGGATAGTCACCGTTCATCTTTCCTGGTGCCGGTCAAGTCCTCTTTGAACAAGCAATATCTGGAACTGTTTTGGAATTGGGTCAAGTTCAACAATGCCTGGGTCAAAGAAGGGACAGAGTGTCTTGGATGCAAACAGGAAAGTAAGTCATTGTGACTTGTCTGTTAATTGTAACGATGTGTCTGATGTTAAGCATGACATGGTTGATGTTACTGTTTCGCCGTTCAGGGATAATAGGAACATCAAACTCCCTAAATTTGAACCACGGTGTTTTGATGGAAACCCGGCTGATTATTTACAATTTGTAAAGGAGTTTGAGATCATGTTGAGTGGTGTTTTATTAAATGATGAATTGAAGTTAATGTATTTGATGAGATATTGCACTGGAGATGCTGCAAGAGCTATACAGTGCTGTAAGTTTATGAAGCCAAAAGAGGGCTACTACGAGGCTATGAGCATATTACGTCAAAGGTTTGGAAGACCTTCGATGATTGCAGGGAAATTATTCGAGGCTGTTAAGGGTAATGGTGGTCAATTACAGGATGACTCCCAGGCACTCACTGAGTTTTTAGATAATTTGCTAATTTACAAGAATGGAATGATTTCGATGAATCGCATGAGTGACCTCAACTCGAGTTTTATACTAGAAGTAATAGCAAGACGTCTACCTACTCGACTGCAAAGGAAGTGGGTGAAGATGAGCTCCCGTATGGAGGATGAGGGTATCGAGCCAAAGTTTGATGATATCCTGAAACTGGTAAATACTAGTGTCAATCAATCTATGAGCAAGTTCGCCAGTCTATTACATCTCACCCCTAGAATAGAGCAGTCTGAGAGCAAAATGCAATCATTGATGACGAGTAGGCCTCAGAGAGGTGGATATCGAGAAGGCTCCATGATGTATAGTAATGCATATAGACCTAGTGAGTGTAACAGGTTTCGTAGTACATCCTCAACAGATAAGTTACAAGATGCAAGACAAACACGGTTGTGTTTTACACGTTTGCAAGAGGTGCATACAGAAGTGAACTGTGAACCAGTGAGCAAGTTCAGTGATAAGCTAAATGTAAACTCCAGGTCTGACTCCGAATTGTGTGACGATAACGGTGCGGTGAAGAAGTCTGTAGTTGCAACTGGTAAGCCAT